CCAACGAAAAGGCCACGGAGGCATCATACTTAGTTAGCTATCGCATTGCACAAGCAGGTGAAGCGCACACTATCGCTGAGAAATTAATAAAACCATGTGTATTAGACATAACAAAATGTATGCTTGATGAAAAATCTGCAAAGCATCTTTCTACTGTTCCGCTATCAAACGATACTGTTTCACGACGAATCCATGATCTGGCAAGCTACGTCAAACAAGAACTAGTTACACGTCTACAAAATACACGATTCGCTTTGCAAATGGACGAGTCGACTGATGTCGCTGGTTTGGCTATCCTGCTGGTTATTGTGAGATATCCATATAAAAGTTCTTTTGAAGAAGACATGCTTATGTGTTCATCGCTGCTTACAAACACTACCGGGGAAGAAATTTTTAATAAAATAAATATATTTTTTGAAGAACATAATCTCAGTTGGAACAATTGCATTGACATTTGTACAGATGGGGCCAAGGCGATGACAGGTAAAACAGCAGGAGCAGTGTCACGAATGAAAAATAAAGCGCCTAATTGTAGTTCCAGTCATTGTATTCTGCATAGACAAGCACTTGCGATGAAGCAAATGCCGTCTAATCTAAAATTAGTTATGGATGAAGCGGTAAAAATAATTAATTTTATCAAATCACGACCACTACAATCCCGATTGTTCTCATTATTGTGTGAAGATTATGGCAGCAAACATAAAACACTGCTGCTCCATACAGAAGTGCGATGGCTGTCTCGGGGAAAAACTTTAACAAGGCTATTTGAACTTAGAGCCGAGTTACAAATGTTTCTTTCAGCAGATACTTCTTTTAATTTGAAGGACCGTTTGTATGATAAAACTTGGTTGTTCCGATTGTCTTTTATGGCGGATATCTTTCAAAAACTTAACGAATTAAATTTATCATTGCAAGGTAAACAGACAACAGTGTTTCAGGCCTATAATAAAATAACTACTTTTAAAAGAAAATTAGATTTTTGGATCATTTGCATTGGTAAGAAAGAAATAGAAAGTTTTACGTTACTCACTGAGTTTGTTAGCGAAAACGACTCAGAAATGTTTGAAGATAATGTGTTTGAAGAATTGGTCCAATATCTCAGTTCGATGCGCGCATCTTTTGAAAAGTATTTTCCCGAAGAACACAATACAAAAATTAAAGTGAACTCCTGGATTCATAATCCTTTTTTACCCAACTTGGAAAAGCCTGAAAACATGTCAAATGAGATATATGAATCTCTTTTAGAAATGTCATCAGACACAAGTATGGAGTCATTGTTCAAAACGACGCCTCTTAATGATTTTTGGTGCAGAATCCAAGATGAATATGCAATGCTTGGCCAAATGGCTCTGGATATTCTTCTCCCGTTCCCAACTACATATTTGTGCGAAACAGGATTCTCTACCTACGCAGCCACGAAAACAAAATATCGCAATAGACTGGACGCCGAAGCTGATATGAGACTCCAACTTTCTTCCATCAAACCTGATATCAAGCAATTGATGAAAAATAAAAAACAGTTTCATACCTCCCACTAGTTAGATTTTTTCTTTTTTAATGTTTTCTATTATTGTCCTTACCAAGTGGTGAAGTAAATAATAATTAGTAACGGATACATTGTACTTTTATTATGCTGATTAATATAGAATACACTTATAAAAATAATTGTTTTATTGTAGGGTTCCATCAAGTATTTTGCTTCCCAAAAGGGTTCCGTCATTTAAAAAGTTTGAGAACCACTGCCTTAGATTATATTATAAGTCGTCGGGATCCCAAGGAAATCGAGGTAGAAATCTGAAATAGCGTTGGTGCCTATAACATTTTACATATATTTATATATATATATATTTATATTTTCTAGTGCTTTTATTTTTTTTTCATAAATAGGTGTGACAAAATGCTCCGCCCCACCTGATGTTAAGTGACGAAGGAGTCCAGACGTGAAGACAGCTAGTACAGCAGTTCTACCTGCCACACCAGCCCTTGCACAGTTGCTCAGGCGTGAAAAAAGCCGCAAACTTGTTCAGGACACCGAGTTTGCGAGCAGGCATTTTTATTACACTTTCGATGTAGTTCTTTGGATTTAATTTTCCATACCGAACATGGTGATATTGCTCTCTAGCGCCAATGATATCCCCTGAACAGAAGTAAGGGGAAGGAATGGCGTCGTTTCTGCTTTTGTCATTCATCATATATATCGCTGTAAGGTTATAAGGTTCAACTAGTTAGGGGATAATCGTTTTATAAAAGCCATTTTAAAAATAAACTATTTAGATTCATCATCAGCCTATTAATGCCCCCACTGCTGGGGCACAGGCCTTCCTTATGGATGGAATAGGGAGTTTTGGGCCATACCCTACCACGCTGGCCTTGGTGGGTGCTAACGATTGCAGATGCAACCGGGACCAACGGCTTAACGTGCCTTGCGAAGCACGAAGGAGCTATAGATAGTAAATTTTTGGTCACTCATCCAATGAATGAGCAACCACTGAAAAAGTTGCTTAACGTCAACGTTCGCAGCCGAATGCGTTAACCACTTGCGTCATCGAGATCCTCAGATATTTAGATTCATTCTGTCAAATTTATATTGAGAAGAATGGATGTTGAAAGGAATAAATCTTTATCAGTTAGGAATTAGGAGATTGCCGTGTCCTTGTCCCAGATAGTCAGGCGACCTTAAGATTGAGGCATGGCACTGAATCAAAAAATAATATCTTTGAAGTGAAAACTTATTTAGCGGCGTTGTACACTTTTTTTGTATGGGTTAAAAATGTTAAACTCGCGTCAGGTTAAACACGTGGGCTGATCGCATCACGACACAATAAAATTGGAAAAGTTGTTGACTTTCAATATTTTGGACGAAACATAGTAACATTTTGTTTTATCGTATTATAATAATAAGTCTCTATCTAGGACGTCCACGTGGCAGCATTATTGCAAAGAAAATGCATTTTTTTACAATAGAAGTCGCTAGGTGCGCTTATATGTGATTCATGTAAGTTTTTTTTAACTGTCATGTTTGTGTACGATAGCGCAATAAATAAATATTGAAATTCTACCACATACATGATAGTACTTTTATACTGACAATTAATGCAATTCGTGCAAAATTATTCCCTAACCATTCCAAAATATCAAAAATGCACAACGTTAATATTCAAGTTTTCACTTCTGCCGGCACTCCCGGAGTGCAACCTGACGTTTTTTTTTACTTCAAATGTAAGTTAGATTTAGGTAAGTAAATGAAAAGAATTATTTCTTAATTTATGAGGTACTTATAATGAAGTCGGGTTTTTTCGCTTTCGCTTCATCTGAGTGCCTGCTATTAAAATACTGTACACATCTTTAATTCATAGCTTCTGTAGACATATATATTATACAATACAACAACGGACCGGTTTCTCTCTTAAAAAAACCATCTGAATGCTATAGGATTCAACGATTTGAATCCTTATTTGAATAGTCAATATCACAAAAAAGGAACCTTTTCACAGTCAAATAGGTTTTTAATACAAAATAAACAAACAATGTTGTGATTTTTTATATTCATTTTATCTCTTCAAAAAAACGTCTTTGTATTTTAATCTCTACATAGAGACAATCGTAATACAACTTATCTGATAAGAAACCTTAAATCTGTCTATTTGGTTAGATTGGAGGAAATTAGGGAGTACCTATTTTGAATAAAATTTTAAATTGCTGCGTTAAATTGCCTACGTGAAAGATAAGATACATAGGTGGTTATTTTTTGATGATTTTGATTTTTATTGTCGATTTAATAATTTTAAATTATACCTATATGTTTTATCATCATCATCATCATCAGCCCATTAATGTCCCCACTGCTGGGGCACAGGCCTTCCTTATGGATGGAATAGGGAGTTTGGGCCATGACCCTCCACGCGGGCCCAGTGTGGATTGGCGGGTGCTAACGACTGCAGATGCAGCCGGGACCAACGGCTTAACGTGCCTTCCGAAGCACGGAGGAGCTCAAGACAGAAGATTTATGGTCACCCATCCAATGACCGACCACTGCGAAAGTTACTTCAACGATCGCAGTCGAACTCGCTAACCACCCGCGCCATCGAGCTCCTCAATATGTTTTATAATATGTATAATTTATCATAATTGTATTCTCACAGTATTTTTATAGGTATTTTCAACAAAACTATCAAATCTATGGGGTGTTTTCGAGGGTCACGCTACCGGGGGGCATATACCGGTTTAGCAAAAAATACCAGACACTATTAAAATGGAAGAAAGTATCACTCTTTCACTAATTTTATTAATGTTCTTCAACATGACAGAAATGATACACAATCAGACTCAGACTGACATACGAAATTAATAATGACTGATCACGAAAAGGTTATAGAAGTATTTCACAAGAAATAATGGTTAGCAGCTAGTTTGGACAAGTGATGTTTTTACATATTATAAAGACTTTGTTTTATTTTTTTCCATGTCGAAAAAAACATGAGTAAGAAAACTTAGAACCGTTGTTTATTTACAAATTCTTCTTTTTTTCAATAAACAATCTTTAAAAGAAAAATCTTTAATTAGGATATGTTCTGTCTGATTTTACACATTTTGCTTATAAAAACCTAACATTCTACAAATGCGTTCTGTTAACTATTTCAACCAAATATAAATCGAACTTGTAAATCGAGGATTTTCCAGTACATTTGAATTCTGTATTCGTGAAAAGAATATGCTCCAGAGAAAAAAAACTTATTTTTTCATATTTTTTTCCTAATCTGGACGAAGCCATATAAAATCTAATAATATGTAGCTTCTTACTGATATTTTTTCGAATGTGTAATTTTTTTTATTACATTCGTCATTTTGTTAATTTCAATCGAATTGATAAAAGAAAAATTGTTATTATATATATTATTTAGGATTATGTTTTTTTTATTTAAAGCCTGTCTATTTTATTCCTAGTAGCTTCTTTGTAGTCGTATTTTTAATAACTTCATATCTGATCTGCTACAGTTTGCTCAGCTGCATTTTCATTTAAAATGTATATAAGACCGTCACGCTAATTTAGCTTTTCTAATAAGTGATACGGTTTGTTTGATTGCGGGGAACGCCAATGTCATGTTAATGACCTCAAATGAGATCAAAAAAAAAATTAACATCGAAAAGTGTGTTCTCAAATAATTGTAATATTCCACTGATAACAGGGATTTGGTGTCGTAAATGTGCGACGAGCGAGAGTAATTATCAGAGCTCGTCTGTGTAAACAATATTATCAGTAGGTGAGTGATGGGTCGGCATTCTGTTTCCGTGCTGGTTAGGGTGTGGACGTGAAGTACAGTGGTCCTGGATAGTTTTTTGTTTTTCAAAAAAAAGAAGGGAAGTTATGTTTGAGTGAAACAAAAATGCGTGCCATGGTGCGAGGCGTGACGCACGGCGTCTCGCCTCTATTCGATTCAGTCTCCGTGCAGTGAAGCCAGGATAGCCGCAGAAGTGTGACGCCAGCATCGCACGCCGCACGTGTGTCTCAGTGAATTTCTGTTAACCAGTGATCAGCTGATTTTCTGTGACTGTTGTTGTGCAGTGTTGACCGGCCGCATACACGAGGTACGTGCCACTTGCTAAGTCTACCGGCAGTTTCGTCGCGGCCGCGAATCGTCGGATTACAGTTAACTTGAGTTCGTTAAAAATAGAAGGTTATAGGTGCGCTCGCGTCATGGATTCCATGAATGGGAGAGCGTGAATCGCTAATATTTCACGAATTCGAGTACGCTGCGTGTGTTTTTTTTTTGGTTTATCGTGATGTGATTAAACGAGTTTCGGTAAAACTGTACTTCCAGGGCCCAAAAGGTGATACTTGTTTTTTTTTGTAGAAAAGGTCTTTTTAACAGTTTTTTTTTCTGGCGCTTCGCCGGCCGCTGCCGCGGCACGCTCGCTTTGCTCGCTCGGCTCGCGCGTTATGGTCACAACACTAACCTAACCTAACCTAGTGTGAAGTATCACCACTTGATAAGAAAAGTAAAAATTTTCAATATTTTTTTCCAAAAAACTACCAGTGCATAAGTGTGACATTTTTTTAATAATGTGGTTAACAGAAAACTTTTTAACAACAAAAATGCGAAATTACAACCAACAAAACTGTGAAGTTTTTACTTTTGGGCCCTGGAAGTACAGTATATCCCGATTTTCAGCCAAATCCGTTTGGCGTTAAAACTTTTTCTGTTAAGTTTGATCGTGAAAAGGTACCGGCTCGGGTTTATATAAAACTTTGCCGGTGATAAGAATCTAAGTATTGATTCAGCTATCTCTATAAATCTGTCTACCTGCGAAGGGTTATTTATGTTACCAACACTATAAATTATCTCTCTCGTCCTTTTATTTGTTGACTGATCTTTCTTTTTTTCGTACATTGACTTTCGTTTCATTGTGAGATTCCTTATAAAAACCTTTGGCTGACCACTTATGCAGGATGACTAATGAAATTGTAGACGTTGTTGTGAAATCATTATTTTTCATAATGTGTCAACCATTCTTACAGATGCGCGTAATCTTGAAGTTATTGCAGAATTAAGTAACATGAAATGAAATTTATAGGTATTTCTTTTTGTAAACAAAAATAATAACAAATCTAATCTAATATCTAATGTGTCAAATGTTATCAATACATTGATTGATTATAGCGGCATTCAACAGCCATTTCAATTGCATATTTAGGTTGGTTGTGTTTACGATCCTGTTGGCATACAAGTTTGTAAATGAGATTAATAAAAAAACTGATTTCATTCCAATGTTTTCCTTAAATAGCTTTATTACTATTACAATAAAATAAACTGTAATTTACTTCAAAATTAAGTTGTGTGATAAGATATAAGTAGATTTTATAGATATTTCTATACCTAATAATGCAAATATCACCCTATTCCATCCATTGGGAAGGCCTGTGTCCCAGCTGTAAGGACATTTAATGTGCTAATGATGAATGCAAAAATAAACTATGTATGTATGCATACATAGTATGTATTCATAGTGTCATTTGTAAATGACTTCCTATTTCCCTAGGTCACGCCATAACTTAAGAACGACTTTATTGATTTCATCAAACTTTGTAGAAGTTTCTTGCGAAAAAAAAATAAGAAAGTTGCCCGAAATTAAACATAACGGCAGGCGGAAGCTAATCTATTCTAATCTATACTTATAATAAATCTGTAGAGATGTCAATTCTGTACATAAAATATATTTTTAATATAACTATCAGGGGGTGATTAGTGATCGATACTGATGCCAAAAATGCAATCAGTAAAATTTTTGTCTGTCTGTCTGTCTGTGTGTATGTTCCGTATAGAAACAAAAACTACTCAACGGATTTTAACGAAACTTGGTACAATTATTCTTCATACTCCTGGGCAGGTTATAATATACTTTTCATCACGCTACAATCAATAGCAGCAGAGTAGTGAAGGGAAATGTTGGGAAAACGGGAGAAGTTACTCCATTTTTTAAGCTTCCGTCGCGGGTGCAGCCTTAATGGTTAAAGTTACATAGAAATCATGTATCACGGAAATATTCTACATAAAATTGTCTAAAAAATATCATGTATATAAATAAAGTCATTCTTTATAGCACAAGCCTGAGAACAAAAACTATAGTTTACACTACAGCTCTACACCGAAGCGAAGCGAGGGCGGGCCACTAGTATTATACTACTAGAGGTCCCCTGCGGTTTCACCCTCGTTAATTTGAAGAAAAAAGTTATAGCTAGTCAAACTTGACGACCTCCGTGGTCGAGTGGTTTGTACGTCGGGCTTCAAGAACTACTGCCAACATAACCTAAATTGAAGATTGTATTTCCGCTGTGCGTACAGAACTTTTTTTGAGAATTATTTAAAGTTAGGTTTCAGGACTCCACCAAAGGTGAAGAAGAAGATAATTATCTGCTAAATTCAGGAGCTGTTAGATAATTTGCAGCTCCTTGAATACAGAATTTGTATTTATACTGTATACCATAGCAATTAAAATGCAGGTGCACAATAATTGTATATTGTACGTTATGTAATGAAAGGTAACTTGATGAATTATCTCATATTGACGACCTCCGTAGCCGAGTGGTTTGTACGCCGGGTTTCATGGTGTTGCCGACTCGAGAGGTCCCCCCGGGTTCGAATCCCGGTGAAGGCAGATGTTTGTGTGATGAATACGAGCATTTGTACTCCAGTCATGGATGTTTAATATGGCTTTCTATATAAATTTACTTATCTTAGTACAGTATATGTATTCTATCCGTTACCCTAGTATCCCATAACACAAGCCTTACAGTGCTTACTTTGCGGCTAGGCTAATTGGTGTGAGTGTTGGAATTATTTAATTATTTAAACTTAAAAGGTCCACATACGCTGTTGCAAATTTTTGTTTTCAAAAACTTTTAAAGGGGAACTTTAACCGTTCATACAGCGCCCGCAAAGTAGGGATGTCGAAAGTTGAAAAAAATATCGATATATCGATACATCGATATTTTAAAATATATCAATATCGGCTTCGATATATCGCGAAAAAAACATCGATATATCGATATAACGGACCAATTTTCCCAAAAATATTGTACAGTAGCTCACGAAATATGACACGCGGAATAATAATGGAACCAAAATTATCTCCCTAAAAATAGACCCTTTTTCGAATGATGAGATAGATAATAGACAATACTAAATACAGCACAGATCATAGATATGTTGAATATCATTAATCTGAGATTAAACGATTTTTCCAGATACGAATTTAGTTAGATAATAATTAAAAAAATATCGTTTTTGATACGAATTTCGATATTGGTTATTTTGTATCGATGTATCCATATATCGAATCAAAATATATCGGCAAAAAATATCGATATATCGAACAAAAAATATCGATATATCGATACATCGATATATTTTCAACAAGCCTACCGCAAAGGAAGCGCTCAAGTGGTATATTTTATTTCCGTTTATGCAACATTTCTCATTAATCCTCCGCTTCTACTGGTTGTAGCGTGATGTTATATAGTCTTAGGCCCGTATTATAGAAAGATTCTCAGTCATTGATCTAGTCTTGAGCATAGTTAGAAAGGGATGTCGCTATATATAGCACATAGCGACATCCCTTTCTAACTGTACTCAAGTAAAGATTCTGTAATACGGGCCTTAGCCTTCTTCGATATATGCACTATCTAACTCAAATATAATTTTTCAAATAATACCAGTAGTTTTTGGATAAGCGCGATCTACCAAACAAACTCTTCAGATAAATAATATTAGTATAGATAAAGCGCAAGTGGTTAGCGCGTTTGGCTGCCATCGTTGAAGTTAAGCAACTTTCGCAGTCGTCAGTCTTTAGATGGGTGACCAAAAATTTACTATCTCGAGCTCCTCCGTGCTTCAGAAGGCACGTTAAACCCTTGGTCCTGGCTGCATCTGCAGTCGTCAGCACCTACTAATCCGCACTGGGCCCGCGTGGTGAGTCATGGCCCAATCAACCTATTCCATCCATAGGGAAGGCCTGTGCCCCAGCAGTGGGGATATTAATAGGCTGATAGTAATAATGATAGATGAAGTGGAAACGTTTGTGAAGTCTTACGGGGTTATAATTAAATCTTTGAATCTACTGACCTGAATTTTGAAAATTCTTTTGCCATTAGAAAGCCATGTTATTTGTGAGTGTCACACGCTATATATTAGAACAAAAACTATAGTCTAGGTACACCTAAGCAAAGCGAAGGCGGTCCCCTCGTTTGCCATAGAATATTAATGGCCAGATTATTATTAGAATAGATTTGACAGCATCCGAACCTGGTACTTTCGATGCATGCTCCAACTACTGAACCCTTTTACATAGCACGTCACATTATGCCACTTATAGCAAAATGACCCTCATTGGGGTAGCTGATCATCAAAAGTGTAATATCAAAAATTAGATAAAATAATTTAATTATAAAATAATTAATTGGAAATGTCTCGGAATTGATAGGCCAGCATCTGGCAACCCTGTTCCGGGGAATACTGTTGCCAGATGCTGGCCTATCAATTCCGAGACATCAGGATGTTTCGGCACTGTTGCAAGCCCCATGATCACGGAGTAACCGAATATCGGGGACTCCTGTCAATAACAAAAATTGTGGTAGTATTCATCAGTGTGTCAAATACTTTGCATTAAAAATTGTATGTATGTTATACTTAAAATAAAGAACAAAAATATAGGCACTGGTCGAAGTGGCTATAGATTTTTTATGTTCCTATCGTAAAAAAAACTAATCCAGCTTATAATACTTGATGTGGTGACGACGCTCTTAAAACAATGGCCGTAGAGTTGAATTTCATTCAATATACCTGTGCCTATCACCTGCAATACAATACAATATTTACTGACATATAAGCATATAAGTCGCAAAGACTTAACACCGAGGTGTTAAATAAAAACTTATCGCGTCTGGTTTAATCTGGTTCATTGAATGAATACTTTTAACGAATTATATAATGTGATTCAACTAAGAATAGGACCGACTGGGCGCCATATTTTGACGTCATAGCTGTCAATTCAAACCAAATAGGTAGAGTGAGCAAAAAAAAATCTATTTA